TACTTTAATAACTTCTTAGACTTGGATCCTTTACAGCTACGGAAATGCTTTGCCCTTTAAGTGGTCACTGGGAGCGTGTGGCGTAGGGAAGCTTGTGCTGTGAGCCTCACAAAAATGTCTCTCCGTTTCGGTACAAAACACAGCAGTAAATAATAGCTCATGTACCGAAACTCCCACATCGGTGGTGTAGCACCCGTTTCCGGTAGTACTCCTGTCTGCAGCCAACGCCATAGCAGCCGCAAAGTCGTTTGGCCATTGGTTAGATCCCTCTAGCCGCTCTAATTGGCTGTACAATTGGAACTTGCTCCCGAAAGCCTAGTTTCAATTGGCCTTCCCTTCTCTCAATGCAGCTTAATTGTAAACATAGCTTACAGCCGGCTAGTTTGAGAAGGGCAAATCATTCAGTTGGTTTTAACAGGTTATTTCACGTGTGCATGATTGCGATGAGGCCTTAAATGTGCTCAAAATAAAGGTCGGACAAATAGGTTCCCGATACTAGCGAATCCACTAAAAAAGTCGGCGTATTTTAACCAAAACTTTGTATGCTTATTTGAAGTTCGAATATTTTAAAAAAATGTTGAAAGAATTTGCGTAACTAATATACTCGGTTGATTGGCTAGGGGAACACTGCAATACTAAGAATAGATTCAGTGATGTCTTCATAAGGTAATCTTGACTTTCTATAAACTTCTTAAATGGTATTGAATTACTTTCATCATATGCTTTTAAAAAAACTTTTAACTCTTATCTAAACTTGCGTTGAATTCTCGTTCTCCTGAGAAACGTATCTGTCTCCTGACACAGTCAATGCGATTGATGCACCAGAGTCCTCTCCAATGAGCGTCATGTCCTTTGGCGAACCTCCAAACAGTCTGGCGTTCTCGTAGAGCCACTGCAGAGCCTTTCGCACATCCTCCACACCGTGGTTCGGACCATAGTCAGGGGTTCCAAAGTCTCCGAAGCCAAATACGCCCAAACGATACCGAATCACTACGTAGAGCACGTCTAACTCTGAGACTATGTTTAGAGGAATGAGCTGCGGTCGGTGATACAGCAGACCGTGGCCGCCAATGTAGGCTACTATGGGTTTTGGGTCGTAGGCTGAGCCCCAACGCTTTAATCCGGAGAAGTCCGTTGCACTGCGCAAGCGGAAACGGAAACTTACTGTCAAGCAGTTGGCAACAGTGGCCGTCTCATTGACCTTACTCCGGCCTGACTGAAGGCAACTCAGTTCGGCTCTTTTACCCAGAAAACGCAACTGGCCGTTGACAAATTGGCGTTTTGACGGGTGCACACCCAACCAAAAGGCATTGTAGCACTCCTGAAAGGTGGTGATTTGCACGGACATCGCAAAGACAGCTCGTTTCTTTGGTAGCGTAGCGTAGGGAAGGAAGTCTAACATGTACCAATCTTCCTGACCCGTGTACTCAGGATATATGGCAACACAGTTGGTCTCGTAATGAAGGAGACCACTGTCATGACGCTCGTCTGTTATGGGAAGTTTATGCATCTCGACCCACGAATTCACGTAGAGGGTGTAAATGAGAGATGTGAGTAAGATAACTAGATGGCTCAGATTAACAGCAGCTAGAGCGAACAATAGGATACGCAGTAGTCGAAATCGTTTGCGATTGCGGACATGCCATCTTTGGTGCCACTCCGTGACGCTTGGAAGTAATGCCTTTAGCGACAGATAGGGCCGCTTGCTAAGTTCAGAAATAGGCGATTCTTCTGAAATCATTTTGTGGTCAGCAGTTTTAGTAGCTTCAAGGCTGGTTGCTTCTTCCCCAGCACAGCCTACCACGTGCGATGCGTTCGCCATCACCTCGCCTGTGCAAGTGGGACATTCATTTAAATGGCTCCTAAATGATACAGCAAATCGATTATCGATAGTCGATGCGTAACTAGGCCTTGTCCAAAGTGTTCATTCGACGTGTAGAGTACGCCACGATTACGAAGGGAGCATCGTGGATGGCATTGGCATGCATTTACCCTGTGTGGTTGGTAGACTTTTTGGTGTTAATGCCACTTCCCTTTGCTCTCTTTAAGGGCTGAAGCTCCTGACACAAACTCATTTCCTGTTTCATTCTCCAAATTGCTTCTATTGTGGAATTTTTAAAATCTTTTCCCAAAAATAAATTTTTCCGCTTAATTTGTGGGATTTGTTTTTGGGCGTAGGGTCCGATTCCAGACATGCGTCTGTGATCTACAAAATGGCCATTAAGAAAATCTCCCAGCGGACACCCAAAACTGGAGCATTGGCTGCTTTTTCAAGTTGTCACCCAGACCACGTAATAGCTGGCCATAAGTAGCGCTTTACGGTGTTTCGTGGCCTAAAAGTAATCACTCCTTCAGAAACGCGATTAGTCTTGAATTTTTTTACAGCAAAGCGCCAAAAAAGGGAAGAATCTTTCCACAAAAGCTACAACCAGCATATGTATAATGCGTTGGTTTTTGTTTTTCCTGGTTTCGGTAAATGGACCAGTTAGGTGCTCCGCCATTGTACTTCGCCTGGTGGACTGATCTACTTGCCGTACTAGTGGCCTCAATCCCTTTTGTGTGTCGAATACATATGTATGTATATTCTGCCCGAGTATTATGACTTCCTTCGTCTTCAGCTAAGTCCCAGACGCTACGTTGGCGACAGTGAAAAGCGAACCTGATTTTAAAGGACATCTTTCCTGACTTCTACTGCTCAGTGGTAAATCTCATCGGGGCGAAAGACGAGCATATGTTGCGGATGGGAGAATCTGCAACGAACCCTAACAGAAGAGCTGAAAATGACTTCTGTCTTCGGCAACTACCCCAGTATTGTGGTCTGTATAATAGCTATTAACAACGGAAGCGACATAAAAAGTAAACCATTTAGAAAAGCTGTTTGCGGAGCTATTCACCGTTCCTGAACGAAAATATCAATTATGCAAACTCGAGATACCTTCTCTACTTCTCTACTACTGGAATAGAACCCAGATTGATATGGCTGAGCAGCTCTGAAGTGAGAACAGCTTGGCAAGGAGGATTTGATGCAAAACCGTGTTTACAAGATACTATGTTGAATCCCATCCTTTGTTAAATGACTCGACTTTTAGGCCAGTGTTCCTACGACTAGCGATGAACAGATGTGATGATTAGGGCAATCCTCGTCCCAAATCCACTTCTCATGCAGAACGAAACTCTAGATCCGGTAGAATTGTCATGAGGAATCAGTGACGCTGCGGTCAAGTATCTTCTCAGCTGTATGGAAATTTGATGACTACCACGGATGGCTTGTGAGTGTTTTACTTATAGCACTAACTACGTTGTGGTGTCTGACACGTAAGGTTGACCAAAGGCAGCGCCAGGGATGACGCTCAAAAGAAGATAGACACTTTGCAATACGTTAGTTATTTGTTTCTCCCGGTTTTGGTGAAGACCCACTTAGGTGCTCCGCCACTGTACCTTTGCTGGGTGGGCTGGCTTTTGGGTCATGCCAGATGCCCTAAGCCCTACTGCATTTCGAATACGTTGCATTCTGACCGGGTAACATGACTTCATTCATCTTTTTGGGAGGTCTCAGGGCGCCACCTATAAGTAACGCACCATCCAGCATCGCATATTTCCATCGTTTCAATATCAATTTCAATATGCATATCCATTTTTAGAAGGTTTATTTTGTAAATCATAAGTCAGCCTCAAATGGAGGCAATTCTTCAACTATCGAAACCCCTTTTCAAATGCCTTACTGTACTTACTTTGTGATATTGGCTTCTAGGAATTTTCCAGCAGTTTTGTTTAAAGTGGTCAGCTCACATGATGCCTTATCAAACACATGAGCGGCGATGCTGGTTCGTAAACAGGGTGCGGTGTAGCATTCATGTGGTTGAATCTACGTGCCTATAATTTGCTGGTTCATGACGAAGTTCAACTTCCACCGTTGGACGAATGTAATCAATGAGGCTTTCATAATCACTTGTGCGTGGATCGCGTGTTTGAATTCCAGAGTTATGGAAAGCGCGGTTAATGTTACAAATTTTGTGAAAAGTGTAGTCCTCAAATGAAAATGCGTCTTAACCGGGGTCAAAACACTCTTCTGCATGACCGCATATTCAGCGAGGTGAAAATTGATTGCCATATCGGTTGCCCCATTGGCTGTCCTTGTCATCTTGCTAGAAGAAAAAAAAAACATTAACGTTGAATCGCATTTACTTAACATCTTCCTTTGTATTTAAGAAAAGCCTCCAGAAGGAATCACATGATCTCCGGATTTTGGAGCATGATTGTAAATAAAGTAATAAAAAATGAGTACTATAGGTACTTTTGTTTGATTTCGCTTAATTTAGCAATTTCACATTATTTCCCGACATAGAGTGACCACTTTCTTCACGTAACTGGCCCTCAATATGTCTTGCACTTTGGGTAATTACTTGACAAGGTCGATCAGTTGAACACGCCTTGAGGAGATTTCGTCCATGACAATTTTCTCACTCGAGGGCACTTTAACGTTGCCTTAAATATCCTTATTCTGTTAAGTAAAAACGTATTGCTCTCGTTGTATTGCTTGAAATGTTCGGGGCACCGCTGCATCTAAGTAAACCATTGTTTTCTCATGCTGTCTGAAGCTAAGCTTGGAGTTATTCAAATGTTTTAGGGTGCTGCCTCTTCACACACAAGTAGTAGCAATTGTTTCCTATTTTTAAACAACAACGTTCTTTCGTCATAACTTATCTTGGTATGCTCAGATCAAAGTTTCCCGTGGAAGGATCAAAGAACAGTAAACCATGCTGTATATGGCAGTATTGACAATTTTGTCTCCATATGGAGCAAAGGAGAGTATCAGGCTCAAGCCTTAACTCCAAGAGTTTGGGAATTTAAATTAGTATGAATTCATTCAGTAAAATTACCTTTAAGTCAACCGTTTTTAGCTCAAAACGCAATCCTCTCCCGAGTCGTAACTGCAAACCTTTTCAATGTTCAGTGATTCGTCTCCTATCTACTTTCAACATTGTGTGGATGAAATTTTCCAACTAGATTATATTCAAAATCTAAACAAATAATGAGCTTTCCACACGTGAGACGGAGCTGCACGGTATTACGATTTCTATCAAATCAGAAATGTGATAGCACATACCCTCATATTTGGTGCACATAGTATTACATTGGCTTTGTTTAAAAGCATGAACTAGTGCCGAATGTCAGAGTGATGTCTGTGTTGCCCTTTGTGCTTAACTGACAGATGCCTCTCATCAACCCCGCTGAGTCTCTAAATTAGTTCTGAAAAATTGTCACGTGTTACGATATCCTCGCTTACTTCTGTCAACAGCCTCAGTTACTGAATGTCTACTACCTCTTTAAAGCATAACGTATGCGCTCTTCACAGTCACCGCCATGATGCTTTTGTCAGATGGTCCCAATGAAGTAAATTCTAAAACATTTGAATCTCTTCATAATCTTGATGGCATCAAGGTTTATTCTCATTTGTGTTGACCTCATAGAATTTGTCCAAAATACACAAAAAGGCTCTCGAGACGTGGAAAGACCGGTGAGTTAAGTTTACTAGGCGTTTGGAAAAGCGTACATGACTCGAAAATGGGAGTAGTCGATAGCCTATGTTCCTTCCTTTCAATTTTTCTGTGGTGTTTCACCATATAGAGCTCTTTTATTCATTCTAAAAGAGTATGCATGTGAGTGCGTTTCCCACTGGCTGTTACGAGTGCAGCATTTTAGGACCCACGTAATATTCATAGTAAGAAATTGAGGATTTTCATTAATGCACTACCCAACTATTTGACAAGCAAGTCACTGAAGCTCATGAGCCAATTTTTATCTCCTGTCACTTGTGTGCTTGTGAATTCTCAGTGCTAGGCTTCTGCTGTGCTTCTGTAAATGTTGGCGAACTGGTACTTGTTTGAGTAGCACTGATTATTTCTCGAGTTTTCCTTCATTTATCACCTAAAAACGAAACCGCACTGCTGTGTGATAATCGCTATCTATCTCGCTTAGGCACTGATTGGTATTGGGCTGGTTGGGCCAAAATCCACACGCCCACATGTAATAAATTAGGCTGATGTTAGGATGACCTTGATACTACTTAAAGGTAGTTTTTTGATTGGCTACCGCTGTTGCTGCTGCATTACATTGAACCGTGGTTATTGAACTAGGCGCTTATTCAGGGTCCCCGTAACAGTATGAATTTCGCTGATCGAAACTAAATGAGTGGCCTGTGTTATTGCCGCCAACCAAATTGAAAGCAAATAAAGTTACACTCGCGTGAGTATTTCTGGTTTGATTAAACGTTATAAAAATACAGCTTCGTCATTTCGCTCTGCTGTCTCTGGACCCAGACGTTGCCCATCATTTAATAGAGCCCATCCAGAGTTTTTTGTCACACTTAACTATGGTTGCCAGGCTATATTAACCCTCTTACATTGGAAGTTTGAGTCATAGGAGTGCCTCTCGTGACCGCACAACGACTTTTCACGAAACATTTGGTGATAAAAGTACTCAGCAACGATTTGTTTTAAAATATTGACGAGAAATCATTCACAATTGTTAGAGTTTGGAAATGTATGCGTATATCCCCAATCTCAGTTTGCTTCAAGATCTCCTTGGCCTCATTTAGGAATTATCATAATAACATTACATGGGTGAATACCCGGACAGACGGAGAATCTAACGCAATCTAGAAGACTAGTCATTTGGGGCATGGAAAAACGGCATAATAAGTTTAGAAGTTTTCTTTTAAAATGAAATGAGCGGATTTCCCAAACACGAGATTCTCGACTAAATCACACATTTCATTTACTGTTCTCCGAATGTTTCTATCACATTCTCAAGTTAATACATTAAATAGGTGTAGGTGAGGTCCTGTAAGCAAGGGTGGAGTCGATAAGCACATTTTATTGTACAACTTGTAGGTGGGACTACGCTCATTAACATAAAATGAGCATGTGGATATTGTTAATGATGTGTGTGCAGTTCCGTAACTCCTGTGGTCATGCACAAGCGAAGTAATAATCAATATGTCACATGTCATTTGAGGACAGAGTGCGTTTATTGCACCACTTCCTCCACAGGTTGAAAGTGGACAACGCTAAGAAACAAAGTGCCGGAGAAATTTAAAAATCCTTTTGAACTGGGCTATGTACACCGCCTAAGCATTGAACATTCGATGGCACAGTAGCGTCAACTTTCCACATCTCCTCATGAACAAATTTAAACATGAATTCCTATGAGCAGCACTGTAGGGGAAAAGGCGACGAGTCAGGTTTACGTATCATTCTCAAGTCGCCCTCTCAGACCCTGCCTTGTAGATCCCATTTTGCAACTGCTAGTATAATTTACGCTCCTCCAAATTGTGCTTTCATGCATGAGAGCATTAAAAATACTGACCCCTTGGGTTCGGACCAAATTGTGCATAAAATAAGGCATATCTTTATCTTTGTTCTTATTTTGGAACTAATCTCCGAAAAGTGCGACTAAAAAGTACCTAGTTTATGAAGTAGTTTTTGCGGTAAAGGACATATATGGTCATTTACAGGGAAATTGGTTAGCAAAGTCAGCGCAACCTTTGTATATCATTTAATTTATTCCAGCAATGCCATTTTAATCAGCAAGGGTATATTTTTAGCTTGGACGGCCCTTCAATGGATGCGTAATTCATTTCCCACTTAAAATTTTTTTGTTTATTCAGTTTTATTTGATTTCTCACCGCTTTTTGGTGCGTGATTAAATAGCGGCCAAAGTAAGGCCACTTACTTACATAATGTTCCTGATTCGATGTCTCCCTCAACAAAACTAATCCTCGTTCTGAATGGTTGTAACCCCACCGCTTCAGGATCTCAAAGACCCCTAATATTTTGTTTCCTTAATTTGTTTCTGTACTCGTTGTTTTAGTATTTGGTTTGGTTTTGTGCATTCTTATTAGGTAATAGTATGTGATGGTCGTCCATTTCTGTGTGTATATTCCTCCACCAGCAACCATACCTGAAGGTACATATGAGCACTGATCTGTTTGTAAAAATTCTCCTTAATTTTGGTATCAAAATACCTGTTGGGGTTGTTGATTTGCCAACTAGTTAATTTGCAAAGTGTATGGCTCACGTTGCTGCTTTGACCCTCGAGGTCACATCGGTGTAAAATCTGCCTCTCAACCTCTGAGGCACCCCTTTCCCAACATCTGATAACCATTAAGTCCTGCTGAGATACACGTGGGAAAGAAAGGAAATTTTCTTTTTATTTTTACACATTTCTGTGAGGAAATTTACCTAGGCTCGGGAGGCCTGGGCTTTAAACACGTCCTATAACAACGGGCGAGTCTTCTTGTCTCTTATTTCAGTAGTGGAGTGTATGTGTTGAAAACGCTTTATTAATCCCATCAGCGTGTTGACTTAAGTGGCAAAATCATTCAATTTGTGGGGTCCGATAGGTAGGCCTCTGATGAAAGCGCCGGAGAGGGAAGCTGTGCAATTCAGTTGAATGCTGGTGAATTTCTAAGTGGAAGGGTGTGGTAGTGTAGACTTCGGGATTTTTATTGAGATGTGTCTACAGAATGTCAACAGCTACTTTAGAAAGATGGACGAAATGCCTAGGATTTCACATCTACTAAGTTTCCCGGGTAAATTTGGTGGCAAGTAAATAACGGGAGCAAATTATTGCATCGGTTCTATCATGAAATCTGCCAAAAAGGATAGTGATTGTCATACATGTTTATTTTAGGTCCTAGAGGGCAGTCCTTGGTGCCTTTACACAAGGTACCAAGGTGACGGTTAAATGAATTGGCACAATTTTTCGTCTATGACTCGGTATATTAAGCGTATATCTTGGATACTTAGGGGGTTTTCTCCCGGAGTAGGATTGTATTATGAATCTATTTACCGATCTCATTGTGAGAACAGACGTTTTAACTTACAAGAAGTTTGAAACACCAAAAAAAAGAGTCGGAAGTGCACAACTTGGCACTTATTAAGAGTGTCTGGGTCTTGTATGGTCAGTTATCGTAATTTTGCATTCTCGTGAGAAAAGTGTCGCGCCGCGCGCAGCCAACTGCACGCGTCAGCGTAGGGGCAGGTGAACCGGCGTGACCCTCTTCTAAGTGGTTTATGTGTGTGCGTGTGGGCGGCTTGATGTACGAGGCGCAAAATGCGAGGTCTTCGAACGCATGTGTTAAAAACTACGCCTGACCAAGAGTGTTCGCACCACGTTTTCAAGTTACTGGCTGCAAATGTGGCCTTGTGTGACCCCACTCTAATTACTGTGTTATGTCGGCTTTTATCGTAAGATAGCTTTATATTCCTCCTTACGAGACACCAACTTCGAATCTGAGGCATTCGTGATCCTCTTGTCCAATCACAACAACGTCAAAGTGTGGCTTGTGTTCCTGACTTGAAAATTCTTTGCAAAATTCCAACTGCTCCTTGATCATTTGGGTTTCGGCATAAAAGGAGTATCTCAAGAACGTAGTGTTAGTGCCTTGACATTATTCTCCCACATGTAAATGAGGCAAGAATATTTTCAGCAAAAGTTACTAGATTTGTTACCTATTTCTGCTTCCCAAGCACCATTACATTCTATTTCCAATAGGTTAGCCTTACGTAAGATATCAAGTAAAGCGAAGCCTTTTACCTTACTTATTCATGCCAGTTCCCTCAGTGAAGAGATTTTTAATTAAGCTGTCTGAAATCAGTATTAACAGTCTCTACAAGTACTGAGTGTTCCATTTTTATTAGAGTTTTCACGGTTAAATGAAATGAGTGCGATAGCCTTCGTTTATTCACTTTAACTGCCAATTACGTGGCCAAATAGTTCGAGAATTTTCATTCAGTTTAACAAATATGTCATGTTCACCGTTTTAATTGCTGATGCTGTAGGATACCTTTATATTCTGAAGGATCTAGAGACTGAAACGCCCAAGTGTAGCGTCTCTAGTCCTTCCCAAAGATTCACTAAGGCACATTAGCACAGAAGACTGTTGGACTGCAGCTATGTTGGTGGTAGAAATTGTGGAGACCCAAGAACTTGGGTCGTTATACATAGGTCAAAACAAAACACCTAATGAAAAAAAATGTCGGGTATCCATTTATAAAAAGAAGCTTGTACTTAAAAGGTCTTCTGGTCATTGAGTCAATAATAGGTCGTAACTCTACAGGGAGCCAAAAATATTTGCCTGACCCTAAGCTCCTCCAAGCTTCCCCCCCGCCCACCTCCCCGGTATTGGCTGTGGGGTCGTAAATCCGGTGCCTATGCGCGCATAGAAGTCGGGAGTACATCACTGAATCACTCTTCCAAATCTGGTGTCTCGGGTCTCAGCAGCATTGTCATTCCAAAGAGCAGTCATTACAGCGTATTACGCAAGCACCTACATCCACTACTCCAACGATGAACTTTCTGCATAGAAGTATTCCCGGATTTTAAAGTAAGGCCATAAGATTAGCGGCAAAATCATAACGCGAACCTAGGTTGGTTAAATTGAAACTGCTTTTATACACTGGAGTCATCCATGGGTGATTGTTTTTTTTTTCACTTAAAATGGCAGTTTGCACCTTGTCTCGCAACTCCAATCGAGCCCACCACTCACAACTGGAAGTCATGACGGTGGAAGTCTGCTGTCTACCCTCTGTTGATGTACGATTCACTAGTCCGCCTCCTGCAACAAGGGGTGAATATGCGGCTTTTAACGTACTGGAACTAAGATGTGACAACGCGTTAACCCAACTTGTGGTGGAAACGCAGGGCCACTACCGTGGAACGTGCTCACACAAAGCTGAATGCGGGTATCCAGGGCGTGGTAGTGGTGCGTAAAATAAGCCCATTGGACGTATGTTGGTACACCTGATTTCACCATGGAGGTATGGGTAACACAATTGCAGTATCGATGTGATAACAGCCTGGTCTATGAAGGCGAATCGGATTTACTGTTGTGTATTTTTATAAGTTAAAAAAATACGAAGGTAGGAAGGGAACTTAGACGTGTGTTAATGATCCATGAGCTGAATCTTAGGCGTGCGCCCACCTGAAGAAGGCCGTAGAAATACATGCAAAGAAGACAGGGAGATACCATATTGCAGAGTTATTGTGTGCCACACCCTTCTTGACTAATTTAGCGGAGGACAGGCCGTCCATGATTGCCTCAGGGGTGTTGTCCAGGCGCATTTCTTTGTTTAATCCTTTGCCGTGCTCTTCATTCGAAATAGATCTTGAAGATACATTTAAACAGCGCAAGGGATTGTGCTGCTGTAAAGCGCCGCAGAGCAGAATAATCACCTTGAGGAGCTACCCCGTGGCCGATGTTCCTGCTGTTGACTCGAGTACGCTGATCACTCCTTTTTCAGCTGCACCTGTCCCGATTCGAGGAGCCTGTTCACTTTAATTACCTAATTTATAAGGAGGAAGGGTTTCATCTTCCCAAAACCACTTTCGCGCCCAGTCCATGAAATTAAATGTTTCAACCCAGCACAAGTGAGCCAAAGTGAAAAAGAGCTGCTGATAATGCAAATGTAGAGATGATGTTATGCGCTTACAGTTGAATAATCCTGTACCTGCTCCCTTATCAATGCGGCCACGATTCCGCCGCCAGATTTTATGCCAGAGGAAGGGCATTAAAAAACTCGCGACGTCCTAATGTTGGTGTTGTATGCGGGTCAGTGGCCGCAACCTGGATGTTGGACTTGTGGTCTCAAACCCACCCGTCTACCCACCCACCTCGTTTGTGATACATTTCTAGTTCCAACGTTTGCAAAAACGGAATTGGGCGGGAGAGCACAGGCCACAGTTTTGCCATCCACAGGCTTAATATTGCTCCACTTCACTTTGTTTAGGCTCTGTTCCAGTGAGAAGATTAGGAAGATGTAACGTCCTGTTCTCTCCACTTACCTATCTGAGCTCGGTGTCAAATACATGACGCGTTCCTTCCAATTTATGCCAACTGGTCGCACCAAATCAAGTCACAAACAAGTTGATTAAGCTTAAAACAAAGAAAGGAGTAGAATTGCCTTTGATTCAGCGAAAGGCGCGTTTTTTTGTAATTTTTTTGAGCTGAATTTGAGCTGGCGATTAGTGTCACCCAGACTTTGGCGATCGCTTGCTCAGGTTTCAGATAAATTGGACATTAGTACCTGCCGGTAGGGGGGGGGTGGAAAAGCGACCCGCACCAGCCCGAGGATTTGCACACCTCGAATTGTGAGGGCAACGTATCCAGCCTGGGGGAGAATGCATCTCGTGACTTGAGAGCTTCTGGTCATGTGCACCTGGGGAGTCACGTGAGCTAAGCCCCATTTAATAGAGAATGACTTCCCAAATTATTCATGTTGCAGCAGGTTCCTTATTGGGTGAGGTGATCATCTTCCACTTTCAGGCTACGATGGGAGAACGCGCAACTGCATACACCTCTCTGATACGCACACGTGTACGTGTAGAAGTGTACGCCCCTACCCCCGGGAGGTGGGACAGGGGCGAGGAAACTCGTCACCCAGCCCGCATGTGCCTTGTTTCACACTCACCCTCCCAATTTCCAAAGCCAGTGCATCGCTTCGTCAGTGTACGCGAAGACTGACGACTCTCAGGGGTACAAAAAACAAAGAGCTTCCGTGCGTGTCTGTGTGTGTCACTCCGCCAATTTATGCTATGGTCTAGTTTACACTAACTTCCAGGGCCATAGCTTTAAATTGATTGGTGGAAAATAAGTCTGCACGATTTCGTGAAGTCTATTTGAGCCACTAGGCAGATGAGAAGCACGTTTTAGAATACTGACCGATTGCTGTCATCGTACAGTGGGCCTTTTAGTTTTCAGGGCGTGCCATTCGCTCCAAAGCAACTGAGCGGCCTTATTAGTTGGCGCTTAAGCTGCTACATGCTCCAAAATAGTGAAGTCCCATATTCCCAAACTGAATTTGAAATTAATTATAGGTACTACTTTATTATCACTTAAATCCAAGTATATCAAATAACTTTTTTATGTGAAGAAGGTTCCATCAAACACAAGGAATTACTAATGGGCACGGCTGCTTGCGTGAATTGGGTCAGAGCTGAAACCTGTTATCCGTGTATTTTATTTAAATGGTGTTAAATGAATTGGCCTGCGATCAAAGGGGCTATGACTTCGAATTCACATTGAAGCCCATAGGAAGTAGTTTCGCGCATCATGACGACGAAGTATTTCTAACCCCTTCTGAGCTATAATTAATGTTCCCACTTCCTGTCGTCCTTTGTCACGAGTTACGGAATCTGATGCCCTATGCGCGTACGTCAGGTGTCACATTTGCTCAGTTTTCTCATAAAGAAGTCAATGTTTTCCCCATGTCGAAAAATTGTGCTTTCTGTGCGATGTCGGCTTGCGTTGGGTGGAGAGTCCATGCGTGACACGGCGTGCGCACAAGCGAAGGTGGCAAAATATTCGATTCAAGATCATGGATAGAAGTAAACATATGGTAAGATGTGCTTGATGGTGAGTGAACGAATTTAAGGCGCTTCGAGGTGATTTCTTCTGTCAGGAATGCACGCAGTGAGAAAGTGACTAATTAGCTCCGCTAAACGAATCACATGCTGCTGCAAAATCTTTCCAGAGTTTTGTCTTATATCTTTGATTTCCATGGCCTTTCCTTCACTTCTACTCTTCTGAATTGCACACGCCTCACTTTCAAAATTTCAGACGTCCTCGAATAATCCAATCTAAACCAGCCCAAGTAAATGTCTTCTGGTCACTAAGTCGAATATTTTAGGAGTCACACGCAAGCAGCTTTTAAACTTTTGCCCTTGTGACAGCTTTCATGGCCGTAAGGCACATGGCAGCCTAGCTGTAAAACGACTCATAGATGGTAGACTGGTTTTTAGGTCACTGAAAACTCAATCAGCCGGCAGACTGTCATAAACTAGTGCTTGCGTGTGTGCCCTATGGATCTCCCAACCAGAGTTTTAAATGGACAATGACTTCGATATGGATGCCTTTATTTGTCTACGTGTATGCGTAAGCCGAGGTATGGCATATGAGCTCGAGACAGCTCCCTGGACAATGGGGAAGGCAGAAGACACGGAGGGATTTTAGTCTATTGTACTTATGGCACTTGAGGTGTGTCTGCAGGCGACGTCAGTCAATCAGGAAGGAGTGAGCGAGAGCGCAATGGTCCGGTGTGTTCGGGAATTGGCCGAGAAGATGGAAACTCTAGGAGATCGAAACAGGAACGTTTTCTGCCGTCGCATATATCTGCATGCGTGTGCTTTGACACGTTACACGGTGTGCATTCAGCTAAGTGCTTCGGGTTGTGTAGTCATTGTGAGATGGGACGCATCAAATCTTACAATGATATTACACACTACAGCCTGTTAGAATATGTGGAAACAGGTAGTCTTATCAGTGGTAATGTTATTGGAGGAAGAGATCTTATTTCTAAAGCATTTTGTCATGAAATTTCACTCAACTTGACCATTAAA